TAGTACCTCTACATCCATTTCTTTGGATATATCTCTGAAGAACTTCCACTGATATAAATTGCATATGAATAATTCTCGTCTGTACACTTATTATGTTGACGAAGTCTGCAAATTAATATATTTTATTTCACATTGATCCTTATCTCTGTATAAATCTCGAAGAAAAACGTCAGCTACAATATTGTAATCAGAACCTTTTGAACGTTAAGTCGTTTACTTACTTGTTTATAAGTAAAAAATATTTAGTTGCTTATTTTAAAAGAAGAAATATTAAAATGATATGGCAATTGTTTCTGTTAATAACTTTAGTATGGCTTTTGATTGTAAGATGGCAAAATAAGGAGAAAAGAGAAATGTGTAAATATTTTAAAAGTGATCTTTATAGTTTGCCGTTGCTTGGGATCAGTCATAAATTCATCGGTAGCAGCGAAGGTATGTTTTTACGCTATTAGAAATAGTAGTCTATCACCAATTTCACAAGCATCTTTTAAAATTGACATAAGTATGAAGCGACACATACAAATTTTCAAATTGAGAACATTCATCGTAACTTAAATTTAGAAACTACAGAAATCTTTTTATACAAACAAATATACCAATTCAGTATTTTTATTACAAATATATTTAAAAGTCAAACAACATCGAACGCAACGTCGAAAATTGGTACCTAGGGCTACTTCCTTGCATAGACTATGATAGAGAGGATGATTTTAGCGAAATTTGCCTAGCCCCTTTCGTTAGGGTGGATCTGCGTGGGATTCCTCCAAATAAACACGAACACGAGAACGCAATAATGCATCTCCCTTCATCAAAAAATGCTGGTAATCATGAAGATAACAATTTAACAGCATGTTAAAAGATAAATTGTTTATTTCAGTACGCATGACAGCCATAGCTCAAGTTGGCTATGAGTCTACACGCCAAGGTGGAGTCACTGCAGTCTGGTTGGCTAACCGTTGTTTCGTCGGTGAGTCTTCTTTCATATAACTATAATAACAATTGCATTAGTAAAGTCTGTAAATAACTTTTGGCTATAACAAATACCTATGACCTTATAATTAATAGAGCGCAATTAATAATTTTTTATGCAATTTTTTTATAACCTAAGTCAGTTTAACAGTGTTTGTTTTGTGATTTCCACAATGAGTATTTTTTTTATATGTTTTCAAACATCACTCAAATGTTATCTTTGATTTGAGCTAGATTATGCACAGAATTTTTAGAACAATGATGCTATTGATGTAGTAATTATAATTTTATATCTTCCGATTGATGCAGTTGTTAATATATTTCATTCATAAATTCATACATAACTGCAATAATTATATTCATTCAACATGTGGTAGATAAAATTTTCACAACATATTGATTTCCAATTTAGGTGAGAGCCAGATATCAAATATAAATTATATTCTTGCCTCAAATTAAACTACAACAACTGACTACGGCATTCTCGGACATATTTTTCTTAACCATGCTGCAATCTTTAAGAATTTTATAAGAACACACATTAGATCTAACAATTGCAAATGGTTAATAATTGTCTTTGCATTAATTTCAAGTTTCTAATAATTTACAAGATAAATTCATCGGCTGTGTGTCACTCGTAATAATTACCGTATGTTTAGTTGTAATCGGTGCCGCTACCGCAGTTACTTTAATTGCAGTAACTCTATCTTGTAGAGCTTGGTGGACGATGGCAATGTGACGAGGTTTTATCCCTTCCTTACGCTTTGTGTCCGAATTTTCTGGGTTGAAAATAAGAATAAAATATTCTTTCTTTATATATTCATTACAAGATCACTTATATATGGGTGGTTCCATAAAAGTTGGGTAACTTTGTGTTCCTGTGATTTTTTTTATAAATTTATATTGTGCACCCTATATTTAAAATGTCTGGTATATGAAATAAACGATTTTTAATCATGTCACTCATTTTTACCTTGATCACATTTCTTTGTTGTCAAGAAAATTACGTTTTCACTCCTTAACATCAGTCCCTAGCCATGTCACATCTCCAAAGTAATGTTTTCGTGTGTCTGTTTTGAATATACTAGGCGATATTTTAACTTTATTTAACTTAAAACTCATTAAAAATAACTCCATCTTATAAACGGAAAAATTTAATGTGCAATGTAAATTATTTTTCATGATTTTTGTGAAGCTAAGTAGTGTCATCGGTAATTATAGTCAGGCCCTAGCCACTCAGTAAATTTAAAAATACGCGGCAATTGAGTGAAGCGAGCATTTTAAAACCGATGCGTTAAAAAGTCACCACGCGAAGTTAGCCACACGCTTGGGCCGGCCCGCGTCGGCCATCTTGGCGTCAGTGCTGTCGGCTTCCCCGCTGAGCAAACACGTGCTGTGCCAGTCAATCTGTCAGTTCCTAGGTGAGTTATAATTCGAAAAGTTCTATCGTTATTATTATCTTTTGTTTGTGTGTATATGTGCTTTGTTTGTTCTGATATTATGGTTATCTAACATTTTAGGATTATCATTTTAAGAGTAAACTAAGTACGATTTTGTTGTGATTCGTCAGTCCCTAGGCCATCAGTCCCTTGCCGTAAATGTGACTAGGGACTGATGCAAAGGCCAGGGACTGACGTTCCTACTCGTTAAAATAGATTCGTCAATTTGATATAGTGTTATTTGTTTTAGAATATGCCACCTAAAAAGAAAATACCGCTGTCTAAAGAAGAAAAAGCAAAAAAAAAGTCAGAACAAGCAAAAAAACGTTTAGAAAAAATAAAAAATGATCCAGTTTTATTAGCGGAGTATAAAGAGAAAGAAAGATTAAAATACCTCAGAAAAAAGGAAAAAGGACAGAGAAAATGCGTTAAGGATATGACTCCTCGTGAACATAGAAAAGTAAAAAAAAACTGGATCACTTACTCAGCAGCTTACAGACAAAATAAGAAAGTTGTTAAACATGCTGATCAATATATTGACGAAAATACGCCACCAACATCTGATGGAGAAAATGGTCTTCAGGTACCACAACAAAGAAATCTCGAACAACAAGTAGATGATATAAATGTTCCATGTATTGCTGATAGAAGATATATGTAGTCTATCGTTTTTAAAGATTATTTTTTGTACTATTAGACTCTCGTTGCTTGAGTACGAGTTACTCTAAGCTAGTTTTTATAGATAGATTATAGAGAAGTTCGACGCATTTTCCTTATATATATCCTTATATTTACATTTTTCAACATTACCTAAGAAAATGGGACATTTTAGTTATAACAGATCCAATAGAAGCTGAAGCAGTATTAAAAAATTGCTTGGAAAAGGATGACATTCTTCGATTCGTGAGGGCACTCATTGGGAACGGCAGTATATACGCACCAGGTTAGTCAATTGATTAAGACCACTAAGATTCAGGTGTATTACAAACTTAGGGCGCTTGTGCACTACACTGAATTTTCATGTCCGGCGGTCCGATTTTTTCAGGTCCGATATGTCAGGCCATATGTAGGTAATGCGCGCTTGTGCACTGTCAGGAATTTTACCGTCCGGAATTTTACTTTTCTCTATTCCGGACCGGTTTTTTCAGGTCCGTGATGGCGGCAATGAAAAACGTGTTTACGCTTGTGCACTACTGTGTCCGAGATCCGGAAAATTCATAAGGAATAGGCTTGGGAAAAAATAATCGATTTGAATCGATATTTATTTCGGCAATATTGTTAATTTCCAATAAACTTATAATCGTTATTTATTGTTGATTATAAAATGCTATATTTTGTATGAAGATTTAATATAGTTGGTATATATCACTGCAAAAGCTTTGGCAAACTCGGTAAAGTTCTAATTTGATCAGCGTATGGTTCTAGTATCGATACTTAGCTAGATTTTAGAATTGTATTAAAAGTATCGATAGCTTAAGGTAAGATAAATAAGTGTTGTTACGCTTAGACGCCTAAACAACTGAACCCATCTAAATGGAAATTAATATAGTAAATAGACTTAACTTTAAGAAAGGACATAGGCTACATTTTACCGCGAAAAATAGGGGACGAAAGTTTGCCTGGAAATTTGTCATTATCAAATTTTTTTTAGACAATTGATAAGTATAGATAAATATTTGATAACAGAAGTAATAATAAAGAATAAACAGAAGATTAACAAAAGTAATTAAGTGACACTCAATGTCTTTTTCGCATTTAATAAAATTTTAAATTTATGTTTGTGTCATTAATAAATTTAAAAAAAAGAAGTATTCTAAGAGAATAATATTTCTGCTCAAAGAAACTACACCACGCGTATAAAATTATGCATATATATAATACAGTCAACTGATCTCGTAAAGTTCATTTAGCATAATAATTCTCCGCTAACACGGCACTAATTTCGATTTGTTTACGAAATGGCGCCACCGATTAGTCTATCTCTGTAATCGCTGAAAGTTGTTTTTACAAAACTTCGAAAAAAAAATAACACGTTTAAAAATTTAAACATCAAGTATTAGACCATTATCAGTAATTTTATTCTAATGTCCCAGATATTTTTAGCTATTGTATGTGAATAATGCTATTCCTAAATTAGTTTTTTACAGGGTATAAGTTTTTACATCTGATAGTAGTCATCCAATAGTAGTAAAAAAAATGCTTTCGTCTTGCCATAATTTATTATGGTTTATGTAAAACAATCAGATTATTATTTAGGTACCTTTCTACGTCTTCGAACGGAATTACCGACGTTCCAAAATCTCATCGTATCTAGCGTAAGTGACGTGTAGCTTCAAAGAGAGCTGCCCTACACTGCGCCGCTCCGATCAGGAAAAAAACGGACAAGTGCACAAGCTACTCATCCGAGTTTTTCATGTCATTCCGGACCGGAAAAAATCGGACCGCCGGACATGAAAATTCAGTGTAGTGCACAAGCGCCCATACAATCAAGCTATATAACGAAAAAAAAAAAGATTCGAATGTGTGCATAAATGAACGCTTATTATGACATATACTTAATTATATCTATTAATTTAGAAATCATTAGTCCATATGCCGTTGCTGAACTTACCAATTTTTGTTCAATCAGTTTCAATATGGCGCCCTCGGAGGAAGGTTCTGGCACCGATCTTCGCACTAAGGAATCTTAACATGTTCATCAACGTTTTCTCAGAACAAAGTAACACCATGGTAGATAGATTATCTGCGGCGTCCGACAAAGGAACCTTCTCGATCTGGAAGTATATGGTAGCGTACACAATGGATTCCATTTGTCGTGAGTGTTAATTGTTGTTTTTATTCAAAACTGTAGTTGCACAACATTTATTCCATAATGACCAGAGTATTATTAATTGATTAAGAAAATTTTGCACCTTTGTGATCGTAAAATGAGACAAACCAAAATAGTAATTTGGTTTGAAAAGTATGACTAGACAATGTGAAGTACCAGGTACAACAATATTTGATATTGTTGTACCTGGTATTTCACATTTTTGTAACAGTCACTGCAACACCACACTTGCTTTACTCGCTTATGTCGTGCGTCATTGGCATATTCTAACCAAGAATTTCATATGAGTAGCTACTGAACTTTTTTCCTTGCTTAATTTGCTGAATTTGTGTGATTACGGAAGTATATTGATGATTTTGACGCTTTTTATAGCACCATCAAGGGATAGTTTATCTTTATTAGTGATACTTAATACATTGATTAATAACCGTAACGTGTTTATAAGCTTTTTCAGCAGTAATTTTAAGTCTATTAATCACTTTTTGTTGCGAACTGATTTTATATATATTTTTTTTTACTCTGGTAATCTGGTTCCATTGAATACAATATTTGTAAAATTAAAACAACCTATGTTTACTGTCTTCTGTCAATATAGAATGTGAAACACAACATTGTGAGACAGTTAGTACATATTATGTATGTTATAAGGAGTTTAGTAAAAGATATTTCTGTTTCCTCTTCGCAGAAACGACTATCGGTATAAAATTGGGTATTCAGATGCAGAAGAATCAAGCATTCCCGAATAATTTCGAAAAATTTTCTGAACTGATAATGATGCGCACACTTATGCCGTGGCTCCATAGCGATTTCATATACCAATTCACACCTTACTACAAGCAAATCACTAATAGCATTACCTACATGACCAATTTCGTTTCAACGGTATGATTATTTACTAACAAAATGGATGACGACTGGGAAAAGGACATTCTATTTAGTCCGTCAGTCAGATAATAGAAAAATACTAGATACGTATTTTTTTTACTTTAATTCAACAAGAAATAGCTTAGATAACGGGTATTGAAATGAGAAGGGGGGTCTCGCTACGTCACAGTTTTGTAGAAAATGTACAAAAGCGTGACTTCATGCAACATTTTAACTCAATGTATCGCCGTAATTTAATAATTACGAAAAATATATGTGTTTTATATTTTCATTCTTCATATATTTAATAAGTGCTATCACTACCATCAGCCCTTTTACGTCCCCACTGCAGAGGCTCAGGCGTTCCTTATGGATGCTTAAGGAGAATGGGCCATGACCCTCCAAGCTGACCCGATGCTCATGGATTAACGACTGCAAATGCAGCCGGGACCAACGGCTTAACGAGCCTTCCTTGGGAAAGTTGCTTAACGACAACGATCGTGGGCCGCGGCGCTTATCCACTACGCCACCGAGCTACTTATAAGCTAATTGCATATTGATCAAACTGTTAACGATTTTCAAGATTTATTGCAGATATTGTATGTTGCAGAACAACCTTTAATAACGGTTGGCAATTTGATTGACACGTGATTAATATTGTTTAATTTATATTTTAATTTTAGATTATAAAAGAAAAACGTCACGCGTTAAAAGAAGACGCCGCAAATAAAAATAAAGTCAAGAATCAAAATAGTGGTGAGTTTCAGAAACATTAAAAAAGACTTCGAAACGTAATTTCTAACCACAAAGAGTTTTTATTCAAGAACCCTTATTTGGAATCGGGTGATTTGAAGCGCAACACTCCACAATTACATTTTATAATAATTGAATACTAATTTTACGTAAAATTGCTTGTGTTTATAGGCGAGTTTTAGTTCACATAACTTATGTTTACGCATTTACTAAGAAAACATGTGTTAACAATATTTTATTAGCAACCAGCTGTTTTCCTGCAACTGCGCCCGCTTAATAAATTATAGCCAATGTCAACTACGTACTATGTAGTTTTCCTTGGGTGAAAGAATTTTATATTCGGTCCAAAAGTTTTTAAGTTTTGAAGCCATCCGAATTGAAAAGATTTTTTTGACTAACTGATATTATGACCGCTTTATATAATATATCATCTTTATAGATTTCTTTAAAGTATGTGAGACATTTTCAATCGATCGTGAAAAGCTATCGCAGCCAAACCTGTAATAGAAAATTATTATTACTACCTGAAATAAATTTTCGGCAGAATTCGTACCTGACTTACTAACAACGATATGTTATCCATCTCAAGAAACGTGAGTGTAGATGACGAATAGTGGTTGGTATATTATTACAATCGCAAGTTGACAACACGGGCGTCATGGTTGGACGCTCTTCGCGTCTAACTTTTCTCGGCCGATTTATTATAAACAGGTAGAGCGCTACAAACTATTCCGATCATGTGACATTATTTACAGATATTGGCAAACCAGCGACAAAAACCTCCTTAGAATTGCTAATCGAATACTCGGGAGGTGACAAGGGTTATACGAATTTAGAGCTCCAAGAGGAAATGATGGTAATGATTTTGGCAGGCACCGACACATCCGCGGTTGCATCATCATTTGTTATGCTTATGTTGTCCAAACACCAAGACATACAAGAGAAATTATATCAGGAGTAAGTAACATTATATAAAATATTTTAAGATTTTCAACAAGAAACAGTCTGTTGATTGCTGTTACAGCTTTTATTTCATATACTTAGTACTACTAGATGATCAAAGAACATTAAAACAGATAAACATCAACATGTTATCACGATTCATTAGTGAAGTTGTAACATTTAATCTAAGTAACATAAACAACATCGTGAAAACCAATATATATTTGCATTTGGATTTTGCATTTCCATGGAAACAGAAAGAAACTACTTTTTATTGCAATAAGTTTAAACCTTGTTCAATGATATTATATTACTGCTTACAGACTAATAGAAATACTTGATGATAAAGAAAATATCACAGCAGAGGATTTATCACACCTTAGGTACCTGGATGTTGTGATCAAAGAAACTCTTAGACTATATCCACCTGTGCCGATCATAGTAAGGACTACTAAAAATGATTTCATTTTGCGTAAGTATATCACATGTTGCGTCTCGTACAGTACTGGTCAAATGGTTAAATTTTTTAGAAATGATATTGAAGCAAAATAAATCATTATCATTCTCTAGTATCTAATAAAATATGTAATAGCCAAGGATCTAAAATAAAATTCATTTTTACAGCATCAGGTAGGAAAATTGTGAAAGGCACGGGAGTGGTCATCCACATATGGGGGACGCACAGAAACCCTAAGTATTGGGGACCTGACGCTGAAGTATTCAGACCTGAGAGGTTCATCGACCTTGAACTGGATCATCCTACAGCATACATGCCATTCAGCCAAGGGCCTAGGAACTGTCTTGGTATATCGTCTATATCTTCCACACATTATTTTGGAAAATTGTAGATTACAGATTACAGAAATATATTTCAATATAATTCATTGACTTGTGTAGAAATGCTAATATGCTAAATATAAATAATTTCTTTGCAGGTTACCAATATGCTATGATGTCTATAAAAACAGTAATTGCATCACTAGTAAGACGTTACAAGATTCTGCCTGCAGAATACATAATTGAAGATGGCGAGAAACCTTTAAGGGTCAAATATGAGATTATGTTGAAGCATGTAGACAATTTTCAACTGCAACTTATTCACAGAAAATGAAAAAAAGCGAAACAAAATCCAAACGAATTTAACTTATAGAAAATTTAGTTAATAAATTTATTTTCTTAGGTAGACAAATCGAATGAGCCAAAACTCGGCAGGGCAGAGTTATTTAAATGTCAAGTTCCCATGACCACTTTCCAGGGTTAGTATCAGACCAGACCAGACCAAATGTTAAATCGGACCATAATTCTTATCAAAAAAATTAAGCGAGTTCCGTTCGCTTAATTATAAAGATGGCCCGTGGCTTTTAATATAATATGTAACTGAAAGTAGATGCATAACTGACCGAAAAGTCAAAGGAAATTGAGGAAACGAATTTTTCTTACACCTTGCAAATTAATCAGAAATGACATTAGAATTCTAACGATTTGACGTGTGCATGCGTGTGCGATGCTTCACAGACAATATGTTATCGTACAAAGATTTTTTTAAGAGTATTAAATGACTTCATTGTTAAATAAAAAATAGGAAGTATTTAAAGTTATTTTATGAAATGAGAAGTGTATGCGGAAATTCAAGAATCTAGTAAATCACTATTATTTAACTAGAACAAGAACACCTTTAATGGCAGTCTTCTGAGGTCGCCAGGATAATCTAATTATTAGTTAAAGTTATATAAAGAATAAAAAGCATTTCCTTGTATAAGTTGGCTATCAGCATTTTGTATAGTATTACTTATTTATTTCTATTAAAAGCATAAGTAATTTCCAATTTGATAACTTGTTCATTGTTATTTGTGCCATTTGATGAAAACATTAGTTGAATTATAATTCTGAATGAAGGGGCATTAGAAATCCTTTGTTGGTTTATAACCCTAAAAATCATGAAACAAGAAAATATTATTTCATTGATGATACCACCGTGGTAGTATGCTCTTTGTAATGTAAGTATAAATTATTAATTACCAACGAAGTATTTATTGAAAAATATAATAATACCTTATCAGTCTAAGTATCCATTAAAAACTAAAAGGCAACCATGCATGATATTACGCAATCTGCTTTTCTAGTAAAAAACGAGCTTTTACACGATATGCTGTTGAACCTTAAAATCTTAGTGGTAGAGTTCACAATGACTTTTCAGTCATTACCATAACTATATCCGGACGTTGGGAACCTAGTAGTTCCCGTCTTGAGACGGACAGGTTGTTGTTTAATACTGTGCAGGGTTTGTCAACTCGGGGGCAGTGAAAACTTTGTATATAATGAGTCAATCATATGTTACATACATAATATATTTTGAGTAGTTTTCTACCAAAAAAATAGACTACATACTTCCAAAAAATATTTTTATAATGGTATTAATATTTAGTTGTAAAAAAAAAACAGATATATTTTTTTTTTTCTAAAACTAATAACTAGTTTCGCGCTTGCAGTATTTTTTATATTTTTGATAGAACTTTGATAGAGTATCATTATCTAATGTGCCTTTAATCTCCATCTATAGAGTTTGCTAAACAATTTCCATCAGGCATTGCGAATTTGCATCGTTACCGAAAATACAGTTTGCATTTTCGCATCGTAGAATAATTCTAATACAATGTGTGTGTTTAGTCCAGGAGAACACGTTGGTTTTGGTAGTGTTATAAAAACTTTTACGAATTCACTTTAGTTAATTAGTTAAGGTAAATAAATTCTAAGCATGAAATAAAAATATTTTGTCAAGCATTCTATGTTAGACACTTTCTGACAAACACAGTCTTTAAGTTGAAGCAAATTCTAAGCACAGTTAACTCTAACTACTTTCCTCGAAGTCTCGCTTAAATATTAAAATTTATTAGAGTTTGAATTAGCTTAATACTAAGGATGGATTATTTCATAATTACAGAGCTTCTGAAAATCATATGAAATGTTATGTAAATAACACTAACAAATATATATATATATATATATGTACCAGATTGTTGTCAATTATTATAGAGGCAGTTCTTATCTAGTATTGTTTATTATATCTTAGATATGTAGTCTTATTTATCTTCATGATTATTACAGTACTTTGTCTAACAAAAAAAATATAATTCAAATAACCTATTGAGTAGTTCCATGCCATTTTATTTTGCTCTTGGTCGCAGTATATTGGAGTACTAGCTGTGCCCGCGACTTCGTCTGCGTGGGTAGTATTTTGGTAGAATTTCTTTTTTTTCCTATGAATGCAGACGAATCGAATAAGATCAATGGGCCATAACCCACTACGCGGGCTTAATGCGGTTCGGTGGGTGTTAACGTTGCTGATGCAGCCAGGACTAACGGCTTAACGTGCATTATGCAGTGTTGTGCACAGTACTCAAGATAATAATGTTTTGGTCACCCATCCTGTAAGCGGTTCTTTTTTTTTCTTTGTTTTTGATCTTTTTAAATTATTATTATATGCACAATCGGCTATTTATTGTTCTATTTTCCATGTAATGCTAGTTTGCTTGGAAGAAATCGCTGGCTAGCGATGAGTTTGTCGTTTGTACTTATTTATGTAAAATAAGTATTCATGTATGTCCTTGTCGTGCGGTATTTACTTACTTATTTAACTGCAATTTAAACCGAATGCTCTAACACACCACGCCATCGGACCCCTTATACCTAAGCTATACTAATATTATAAAGAGGAAATATTTGGTTGTTTGTTTGTTTGCATCGAATTTGCTCCAATACTACTGGACCGATAGTTGCAGAGCGATTCCGATCTACGGGAAGCGACATCAGACGCGCATGTCATAGGCTACAATTTCGCGGCAAAGTCGTGAGAAAATAGCTTTAAAATAGTTCATTATATCCTGTGAAAACTTATCTGCGGTACGCCTGTGGAGTATGAAGGCAACACGGGTTGGCGATAATCGAAACTACTTTCTCGATCTCTATTGTGCAAACTGCGAGCTCTTTAAGAGACCAAGCTCATTTCCCTATCAAAAGAAGTTTCGTACCATACTGCATGTATGTAAATGCTTCAGATTCAACTTTATAGTGCTTGAGCCTCGCGATGGGCAGTTAAATACGCTTCGCGTTTTTCAGGTGTCTCCCAAGACCGAGCGCTTTCTGTCTGATCTCTTTCTTTGTCTATAAAAGTCGGTCAGTACATGTCTGACGGAAGATACGTCGAGTTTTATTTATTGATATAAAAATATATATATACATATTTTAATTTCGACTTTCCACACTCGAAGGAAATCGTCTACTAACATACTTCCGTGAGGTGCTTAGCTGAGCTTCTGTCAGATTTGAATGGCCCTCATCATCATCATCATCATCAGCCCTTTTACGTCACCAACTGCAGGAGCTCAGGCCTTCCTTATGGATGGTTAAAGAGGATGAGCGACCCTCCATGCTGGCCCAATGTGGATTGGAGGATATTAACGGGACCAAACGCTTTACGTGCTTTCCGAAGCTTGGAGTTGCTTGAGATAATATTTTTTGGTCATCCATCCTGTGCCCGACCTTTGCGAAAGTTGCTTAACAACAACAATCGCGGGCCATGGCGCTTATTCACTTCGCCACCGAGCTACTCTGAACCGACCCTCAGACTCGCGTAATATTCTATGAGTGTTGTGACCAATGAATAACGCATTGTTTCCAGCAAAGACTGAAAATACCAACTCTGAAGTACGTATCTACAGCAATTTGTATGTTTAAATAAAAAAACAAAAAGAGTATTAACAAAAAAATATAGCAATAAGAGAAAAAAAATATATAGCTCGAGTTGTCTTTACGTTCTTAACTTCAGTTGACGTGAATCTAAGTTTTTTAACGTCGTGGACAAACTTCTGACATTGTCTCTGTTACCTGGCAAGCAACAGGGGTGAGTACGATTCTCCTCCGTGAATCCGACAGTGAGCTGTCCGGTGGGTCTCCAGAGGCCTACCCACCAAAACCCGTACTCTACACCTCCTCATGGGAAATGAAAACCGGCAAGCTGTGGCCGAGTCACCAGGACACTCAAGTATTGGACCATTGGTCCCCTTGCAGATGGAAAATTGGAGAGACTCGGGTAAATCGAGTGCCTCTCCCTGACAGACAAAACCGTGCAATGCGGGAGCGACTGCCAACCACCTCCGCTGGCCCCGACGACGACGTTAACCTAATCTGATAAAAATATGCGTTCACTGTAAACTACTCGAGGCTTAATTGCATCATCAGAAGGCTCTTTCCGCTTGTTTTCCTACTCGCGTGATCGTATACCACATGTCCATTATAAGCTGAACCCTATTTAATATGATTGGCCATATATAAATGAGGTCAACTTACTTCGGAGTTGTCAAAATTTTGGAATCTTATTTTTTTATTTGTCATAATACAAATTATCATTTTATAGACAATATTAATTCGTAGCTCGGTGGCGCTACGGATATGCGCCGCTGCGCACGATCGCTATTGCTAAGCAATTTTCGCAAGAGTTGTTCACGGGATGGGTGACCAAAAATTATTAAACAAAGGCCTGAGGCCCTGCAGTTTGGCTGTGAAATAGTTAATGATGATGATCAGTATATCAAAGACGAAAATTTAATAAAACAGTATATATTTCATAGCAATTTTGGTGACCACGTCACTTCAAATTGACATAACTTTTAAATTTGTGAACCGATTGAAATAAATTTTACACTAAATGTTAACGGAAGAATGCCGCAATATAATATTAAAAACTGTATTTAAATCGGTTCAGCCGTTTCTGAGATTATCGTGCACAAACGCACAGACAAACAGACAAACCGACAAACAGACAAACAGACAAAAAAATTAAAAATCATTGTTTTGTGTTCTATTACTCTTATAAATGTCCCTCATAACAGTTTTTTTCATATATCTTAAGTGTACAGACATCGATCGGCTACGTTTTTATTATAGTATAGATTATTTGTCATAATACAAATTATCATTTTATAGACAATATTAATTCGTAGCTCGGTGGCGCTACGGATATGCGCCGCTGCGCACGATCGCTATTGCTAAGCAATTTTCGCAAGAGTTGTTCACGGGATGGGTGACCAAAAATTATTAAACAAAGGCCTGAGG